GCGGGATGTGGGAACACAGACCTGTTTATAAGCAGGGGCAGAGGAGTAAGGGAGTTCTACCTGGAGGCATCCTTTATCTGAGAGGTCAGAAATGGGGAAATCTCTTGGTAGCGGGAGCTGGGATAGACGGTCTGAGGAGATGAAGGCTGAGAAGGGCAATGAACAGGAATGGGAGAGAGTGGCCAGAGCAGCTGTGAGGGCCCCTGGAAGATAGGAGACCACCGCTTGGTGTCTAGGTAACTGTCTGCTTGGTTGGGATTTTCTCCCATCAGAGCCCAAGTAATAGCAGATGAGGAAGGAGTTTGATCTGGGTTGGTGGCTGGCAGTGTGAGGGGCAGAAAGTCAAGGACTACAGGTAACTACAGAAATATCTACCATTCATTTAGCATTTACTCTGGCCAGCACTTAACTTGAGTACTTAAGTCCATTTTCTCATTTAATCCCTAAAGGAATCCTGCTAGGGTAGGTATCATTACCCCAGTCTTAGAAGAGCAACACGTGGAGGTGACACGGGCAGGGTAGTGCAGCCTGTGGTGGTAGAGCTGACAGCTGAACCCAGGTCTGTCCGTTTCTGAGGTGCTGTGCCTTCCTGCCACTGTGGGTCACTGGCAAATAATGCAGCCTTGCATCTGGCATAGATGAGGAAGGAGAGGAATGCAGAGGAGTTCTGGTAATTTGGGGGAAACAAACACTTCAAGATTGTTTAATATGGAAGGGGGAAGTGAAGGAGGCTCTGGTCAGAGTTGAGGATTTCCAGTTAGAGAAGTTCTGGATGATGTATAAGCAGGCAGCAAAGCCCTCTGGCAAATGTATATGGATATTTACGAATGATAAAAAGCTTTGCAAATGTGAGAAGAGATTATCATCTTCCCACTTGGAGGCTTACCGCCCACAGGCATAATTATGAGCTTGGCCTTCCAAAGCTCATGAATGACTGCTTCTCCTTCTCACCTCTGCTCAAACAGAAGACCAGCTCTTGGTGGAAGGGATGTCAGTGCCAAAAGACGAAGCTGTGGGCGCACTCCATCTCATCCAAGCTGCGAAACTTGGCAATGCAAAGGCCCAGAGCATCTTGAGAACAGGTGAGCACGCAGGTCTGGGCAGCTCTGACAGCCCAGGGCTCCGACAAACGCCCAGCCCTCAGGACCAGTGCAGAGGTAATTTTCCTACTTACTGTTCAAGGTATTTGGCAGCGTTGCCTTTTTAAACAGGTTTTTGTTTTGTTTTACAACTATGAAAAAACTACTTGTTCATTTTCTGGAAATTTAGAGAAATACAGGAGAGTAAGAAAAAGTATCTTTTAGTTTTACTGTTCAGAGATATCAACTATTAACATTTCCTTCCAGTCTATTTTTTTTACATAGTTGAGATCATATAGTATAGTATATGTACAGTTTTATATCCAGCTCTTTTCATTTCAAAGTATCACATAATCATTTTTTCATATTAAGGATAAATCATATAAACAGCTTTAAAAGTACTGCTTCCATGAGGTAGTGTGAACGAACTATTCCTGGCTGGTGCTCTTTTCCACTTTCCTCTTTGACTTTGGATTTGGCTCTCTCCCCGAAAACTTGTTTTTAATTTTTGTTTTCCTGTAGCTGGAACAGCGTTGGGTCTTGCGGTTGTGAACATCCTCCACACTATGAATCCTTCCCTTGTGATCCTCTCTGGAGTCCTAGCCAGTCACTATATCCACACTGTCAAAGACGTCATCCGCCAGCAAGCCTTGTCCTCGGTTCAGGACGTGGACGTGGTGGTTTCGAATTTGGTGGAACCCGCCCTGCTCGGCGCGGCCAGCATGGTTCTGGACTACACGACTCGCAGGATCTACTAGTCCTCCGAAGAGTGGAGGTGGACCGAGATTCAAGAGCTCCTTGGCAGAATCAGGTTGTCTTCTAGATGAGCATTTCTTAAAAGGCAAATTTGGTATTTCAATTTATTTGGCAGGCGACTTTGGCAGAGTTTTTGCTTTTAGTCTCTTCCAGAGTCACTTTTCCCAACCCGTTTTTGTAGATGCTGCTCCTTGTGGGGTCATTTCAGCTCAAACCTTGTCACAATCTTCTGTGCCAAAAGGAGCTACAGTAGTAGCCGAGGAAGCCTTAGGACTCTGCTTACTAGATGTACCACTTAGACCTGCAGGCCTTGCTTGGGGTGTGACCTTGATACTGGAGTTTGGATTATTAATCCTTCCTCCTCTGACCCTAAGTTCAGAACACAGAAAGGGATCCAGTCAGGGAACAGAAGGAAATCTCACCATGAAGGGCTTAAGTAAACCTTTTAAAAGCAGTTTTATTGAGGTATTTTTTAAAGTGCACAATTTGGTTGAGTTTTGACATATATATACCTATGAAACCATGGCCACGATCAGGACATCAGGTGTACGTATCTCTCACCCCCAAACATTACTTGTTGAAAGATGTTATTTGCTATTACTCTCTCAGAATCTTGAGCAACTTTAGATCAGGGATCTGAATTACAGTGGCCTTAGTGACCTTGTCCTTATCTTCTTAAAGCCAGCTGAGAAGCCAATAGGACTTACAGCCTCTGAAAGATTAACCATCCCAGAAGGATCGTTGCTACTGACAAGCAGACACCTCTCCCTTCAACAGCTTTTCATACTATGTTGAATATGACCCTGGAGTGTTGATTAAGGCAGTGTTTGTTGTGTGTCATACCTAGAGCCCACATCTGTGAATCTGGATTCTGGCTAAATAAGATTCCACGCTCGAATTGGTGTCAAGATAACACAGGCCAAGGTTCTTGCTATTAATTTCAACCTGGAAGAAATACTGATAGCCACCATTTATTAAGTGCCTACTGTGTGCCAGGCTCTGAACTTGGTGCTTCATATGCATTATTCTAAATTCTCACAACCAGTAAGGTAGGTGTTTTAATTCCCATTTTATAGAACCCCAAACTAAGTCAAGTGCTGTGCCTAAAGCCGCGTGGCTAATGAGTCTTAAAGACAGGGTTTGACCCGGGTCCCTCTGTGTTTTTTCTGCTAAGCCACACAAACCTCTCTTCATATCAAAAACTTCCAAAGTGAAAATATATTCTAATTTATTCCAGGCTACCAAGAGCTTTGACAAGAATATCTCATTGGCAAATGAATCGATTCATCCTTGACACTATCTCTCAGTGGTGAATTTAATAAAATATTCCTGTATGCTGTGGAAATTTTGCCAGTACAGTATTTGGTCTAGTGACAGGTTTTTATGGGTACTTTTAGATGACCTAAAAAAGGACATGCATATGTTTTTCAGGTTGTTTATTATTTTAGGAAAACCTGAAGGTTTCTACAACATTATTTCTGTGTTCACATATAAAATGAAGGAATCAAGTTTGCATTTGAATTACTTCCTTCCTGGTGGGTTAATGTGAAAAGATAGGTTGGCTGATTCTTAGAACTCTGTCAGCTCTGAAATAATCTCCAGGTCCTGGTTGATTTCTGGGAAGGAAGCTAGTTGGCTTGGCCATCAGTGTCTGGGGCGGGTCGGTATACCATGAAGGGGCATCAGCTGTTCTTTGACAAAACCTACAACCACTGTATACACCAGACAGTTGCACTGCTACCAAGTTTCATACCAAATATTTGGAAGGATGGTATTGAATCTGAACCGAAATCTTAGTTTTTATTAAATTCATGGAAAGGCTAATATATTCCAACATAATTATTACATATAGCTAAATGATCACGTCTTAATTTATTTTAATGTAAATATTTTTATTTTACTGTTCTGAGCCAAATTCTAAAAAAATAAATGTATTTCCTTGTGGAAATCCTGCCATTTTTGTATTTTGTTTTGTTTTTAATTAGCTCATTAGCTAAAAGCATTCCCCTTCCCAAAAGATATTTGTTGTGCTCCTTACTTTCTGAAGGTCATTTAACTTCTTTAAGGCATTTAATATTGATTTAACAACCACCCCACCAAAAAACTTTGTTAATAGAAAGCATTGTTATATAACTTTAAAATATATATACTGCAAAATGATCACCACACTGTCTAGCTAATATCGTCACAATACATAGTTAAGAGCTTTTTTCCCTTGTTAAGATCTACTTTCATAGCAACTTTCAAATATGCCATATAGTATTGTCAACTATAGTCTCCATGCTGTACATTACATCCCCATGACTTATAACTGGAAGTTTGTACCTTTTGACCCTCTTCACCCACTCCCCACCTCCCAACCCCCCACCTGTGGCAACCACCAATCTGTTCTCTATGAGCTTGGTTTTGTTTTGTTTTTTTAACATTCTACATATATGTGAGATCATACGGTATTTGTCTTTCTCAGTCTGATTTATTTCACTTAGCATAATGCCCTCAAGGTCTAGCCATGTTTCACAAATGGCAAGATTTCATTTTTTTTCTAATGGCGGAATACTATTCTGTCATACATATTTACACATTTTATTTATCCATTCATCCATTGATGGACACTTAGGTTGTTTCCATTACCTTGGCTATGTAAATAATGCTGCATGTAAGAGTGCATATATCTTTTTGAGTTAATGTTTGTGTTTTCTTCAGATAAATACCCAGAACTGGAATTGCTGGATCATATGGGAGTTTCATTATAATTTTTTGAGGAACCTCCATTCTGTTTTCCATAGTGGCTGCACCAGTTTACATTCCCACCAGCAGTGCACAAGGGTTCCCTTTCTCCACCTCCTCTCCAACACTTATTTGTCTTTTTGATAACAGCTATTCTAAGAAATGTGAGGTGGTATCTCATTGTGGTTTTGATTTTCATTTTCCCTGGTGATTAGTGATGTTGAGCACCTTTTCATTTACCCATTGGCCAGCTGTTTGGCTTCTTTGGATAAATGTCTATTCAAATCCTCTTGTTTTTAAATTGGATTGTTTTTATGCTATTGAGTTGTATGAATTCTTCACATATTTTGGATATGAACCCTTCACTGTATGTATGATTTGCAATATTTTCTCCCTTTTAGTAGGCTGTCTTTTCGTTTTGTCGATGGTTTCTTTTGCTGTGTAGAAGCTTTTTAGTTTGAATGTAGTCCCAGTTATTTTTGCTCTTGTTGCCTTTGCTTTTGGCATCAAATCCAAAAAAATCATCACAAGACTGATGTCAGGGAGCTTATACTGCCTATGTCTTCTACGATTTTTATGGTTTCGGGCCTTATAGTCCAGTCTTTAATCCATTTTGAGTTTATTAATTTTTCCAATCCATGAGCTTGGGGTCTGTTTGTCTTTAGTTTCTTTCATCGGTGTCTGATACTTTTCAGTGTACAGTTTTTTCACCTCCTTGGTTATACTTATTGCTAGGTGTTTTATTCTTTTTGATGTAATTGTAAACGGGACTGTCGTCTTCTCTTTCTGATAGTTCATTAGTGTACAGAAATGCAACAAATTTCTGTATACTAATTTTGTATCTTACAACGTAATTCATTTATTAGTAGTTATTAGTAACAGTTTTTTTGGTGGAGTCTTTAGGGTTTTTTATATATAAAATCATGTCATCTGCAAATAGTGACAGTTTTATTTCTTCCTTTCCAACGTGGATGCCTTTTATTCTTTTCTTGCCTAAGTGCTCTGGCTAGTACTTCCAATACTATGTTGAATCCATTTAAAATTTGACATAAAAATCAAAGTGGTCCCAAGAAAGAGGTTTGAAACTAAATACTGAGCACTCACTGAGTTTCTGAACCAACTCCTTCCTTTTTATGAAGCCCCATGTGAGTAATGTAGGCATTAGAAACAATCCAAAGCTACTACTGCCACCTCAAAACTTAAGAGGCTTACACGGTGATCACTTTCTCTCATGGTTTCTGTGGGTCAGGAATTTTGGAAAGGCTCTCCCTGGCAATTCTGACTCAGGGCATCAGATGCACGTGCAGTTAGACAGTGGCTGGAGCTGGAACAGGAGGTTGGAATAGGGCTGGCCATGCATCTCTCTTTGCTTGTAGTTTCCAGGTCTCTCCACGTTGGTTGATTTGGGCTTCCTCATAGCATGGTGGCTTCAGGATTGTAGAACTTTTTACATGGTGGCTCAAGGACTACCAGCTTGTGTGGTCCAACAAACCAGCCGTAAGCTGTGTTGCCTTTTACAACCTAGCCTTGGATGCATATAGCATTACTTTTGTCATATTATCCAGTCACCTCTTGATTGATTTCGAGAAAGTCAGACTTTACTGACATCTGATTAACGGCCACATCCACCCTCAAGAAGCCCATCCTGTGTGGGAGGCAAGACAAGTCCAAATGACACCAAGACAATATCAAAAGGTAAGCTGTTGCACGTAGAGGGCCATGGGAGCTCAGGGGAAAGGAAAGGCATTACGGACGTGGCCTTTCAGCGAGTTCTTAAACCAGATTTCAACATTTTCAAGGGCATTAGCAAGGCCCAGAAGCAACTAATGGTTGGTGAACAACAGCAAGTGATTGGTTGATTACAAGCAGAGGTGGCTAAAGGGGAGGAATAGCGAAGAGGCCAGAAATGCGGGCCAGATCAAGGAATGCCCAACTAAGACGCTTGGAGAGGGGAAGGTAGGCAGAAAAGTAAATGTTCCTCTCCCTTCCAGACATAATTACCATAGGAGAGATGGTGGACTTTCCTTCTCGGCAATGGCAAGACCTACCCCTGCTCCACCTCCTGAATGTGGCATTACGTCAATCTCCAACTTGGACTAGTATCAGGTAACCATTAGTAGCAGATTTCTGAAATACAGCTTTATCAGTCACTCGAACCATCACCTAAAATGTGACAGGTTCTGAGAGCAAATAATGAATGTGTTGATGCCTGAATGGAACACAGTCTCCTACAGGCACCTATTGTGTGGACCAGTGTGGTCCAGAACATTCTATGATGATGTAAATGTTCTATAATCTGCCCTGTGCAATCTGAATGCTACCTAACTACATGTGGCCACAGAGCATATGAAATGGAGCTAGGGGCTAGAATTGTATTTTTAATTCTGATTGACTTAAATAGCCACCTGTGGCTGCTGTACTGGCCAGCAAGGTCTAGATGAAGGACTTGACAACAGAAATATTAGCAAAGTGCTAAGGATGGCACAGATCCCAATGTGTGCTACAGGGATTCCGAGTTAATGGGGCCAGCCACAGTCATGCCATCCTGACTCAGGTTTACTGGCTGAATCCAGAGGAGTAAGGGTCTCACTAGCTTTATTTCCCAGAGAGACCCCTGCTGAAATATACTATCCAAGATCCTACGGGACAGGGACAGAGAAAATGTCTAGGGTGGTGTGGGGATTCAAAGCTCTATCTTTGGTGGGCAATAAGGGGTTAACTTTTAGCCAAGGAACTCCCTTTTCAATGGAAACTTCCACAGACTCCTACTATAGACAATAGAAACTCAGAGCTATTTTAGTTCAAGGCAGGGGTTGGCACCCAGTGGCTGTGCCTCAGCCCTAGAAAGGATAAAAGGAAATTCCTCACCAACCTCACTCCCAACTGCAGCATATCTTGTGGTCAATAATGAAGCTTCATGTTTGTTTATTGTCTGAAACAGAAATTTATTCTCAGAATAACGCACGAAAGCATAGGTTGAGGCCGCCATTGGGAGGCTTCCCCTCCCTTCCTCTGCCACCTCCCCATCTCTTTGAATGCCAGGGACAACACAGTTGAAGGAAACATGCAATCACAAACAATGATCAACTCTAAAGACAAAAGGTTTGGTCCAAAAGAACTCAACATAATTAATCCAATTACCGTGAAGAGCTTCACTGAGTAGGATTAAGATATTGCAGATGTAGTGTTTCCACAGGGTGGCTCTTCAGTGCACCAGGGGGGCCTGCTTGAGGGAGATGAGGACAGAACGCATGCGGGAGACATCTTTGGCCTGCTTGCTGGACTTGGGGTTAAAGTCACACAGCCGGGCCACCCGCTCCCACTCAGTGCCTGGGGATGACTCTTCAATGTCATTTACAAAGGCTTCTTCTGCTGCCCTGGAAGCAACAAAAGATGTTGGTTTAATGTAGAATCCCTGGTAGCTACCTGGCAGCTGCCCTGTTATGAAAGCAACTGCCTCTTTATGCCTGACTTAATGGCATTCTGGTTTTCCAAAGAGTAACAGCCCCTGGCCCAGGTCAGACTCAGGAGCAGACACACGGCCAGCTTTCCTAGGCACAGGGGCCCCGGACTGCTGTGTAAAATGTTGGAATACAGGTGTTTGGTTCAGGACTCACTCTGTTGATACAGAGAATTTAAAAAGCCAGTCCTTAGCCAGCTACTCACCGCCTTCATTAGCAAGGGCAAAGCAGCAGGCTGGCCAAGAACTTGAACAGCAGTTTATGTTGGGCTGTACTGAGTTTCAAGTAAATTTAGAGACCTCCAAAGAAGCCCACAGGTCACTGCACAGTAGCCTCTGGATTTATTCCTAAGGCTGGAGAGAAATAGGGCAGCTCAAAAGGAATTCAAGACAAAGCTCCCATGCTAGCAGGCACTAGAGACTAAAGCCATTCTGGAAGGGGTTTGTTAGGACATTCTCCTCAGCCAGAAGTTTGCCATTTTCCCTCCAGCCGGGTACCATGGGCCTCTTGGGGCACTCTGGCAGGGGTGGGCGCCCAACGGCCGAGAGCCAACCAGTGTGAACTGCTTTTTGGTAGGATGCTGCTCCAACATTTTTTCACACCAAGGTCAGCCCATCCCCAGTTGGGAACTAACTTGTAGGAGCTACAGCCTAAAAGGACAATGCTAAGAGGAGGAAAGACACACTACTTCATCTACTCCAACAGGCATCACAGGCAAAGCGAAAGCAATGGAGATGACTGGTCTGTGGGGACAGAGGGGTGGCACTCTCACAGGGATGGCCGTGGCAAACACCGCTGAAGCCCAGAGCCACTACAACACTGCGACTTCATGGCACACACAAGGGCAGTGAGAAAGGTTTACTTAACTGTTCTAGGCTGTAGCAAGGATGGTTTATGTTTGTGCTTAAAGGTGAAGAGAAGAAAAGAAATAAGAAAAACTTTAGGTCAGATACAGAAAATGAGAATGAGCTCAATGCAGATGGTCAGTAAGCTAGACATGCCCTTGCCACTCTGTACTCTTGGGGACGTGCGGCTGGCTTTGCTGGGCCACCCTGCTGCCCAGCAAACCCAGACTTGACTTTTCCAGTCTCCATTTCTACTCCAGAGAGAATGTGCAAAAAGTAAATCCAACACCACCTGTAAGTCCAGCATTTCACAAGTCTCATTGCAAATGCACCCACGGGCCCAGGAAACCCAGCTCTATCTCCTAACGGGATGAAGGGCTCAAGGTCATGCACCCTAAGAGGCTCTACAGACCTGAGCCTGTTGTCTACTCTTCCCACAAGTTCCTCTCTTCCTTCATTCCACCCTCATCTCCCTTACATCAAAAGGCTAGTCCTAATTTTCAAGGAGGAAACAAGCAATTCAGCAATACTGCTTTGACAACAGAAATCCTTAAACCAAAACAAAACAACTTTTCCAGAGAAGTTGCAGTTTTCTTTAGGAGGAAAAGCCACAGTGGCCTGTGTCATACAGCTCTGGCTATCTTGACCTCAAAGCTGGGGGTCTCTTTATGCCAGAGTAGGGGACAGGGCATCAGAAGCTGGCCACTAAACAACAATTTCTGGTATGAGACCACAGAGGAACAATTACAGACCCCACAGGAGGCTGCCCCCTCTGCTGCCTCTTCTGCCCCAACCCCACATTCTTCAAAGGAACCCAGTGTAGAAAATGCTGCTTGCACTGGTTCCTAACCCAGGGCTTCTTCCCCCTCCCCAGGTGGGGACACTCCCCCTTCCCACCTGGGGCAGGGAGGCAGCAGTGGCAGCAGTAACAAGAGGTCAGAGCCCTCCCCAGTCCCAAAACCTTCCCAGACGAGATCACGAATGACTCACATTTTGAAAGTGAGTTAGCTTCCTTCCCTCCAAACCCCAAAATGAAAAATGGCAACCAGAGTTGCAGGGAGTCGTGGTTCTGTGAGACAATCAATGGAACATCCCCCCAGCTTATCAACTCTTAGGCAGCCCCCACAGTGTCAGTCTGAAATAATTTTAAAACCAAAGCAACTTGTGACATAAAAGGAGCATTAACTATAAACAAAAAGTAGGAACAATCAAGACAAGAAAAGGAATTAGTTTTGCAACATACACATAACCAATCACGTCAGCGAAGGGTTGTTTGTAGAAAGCTTCATCTGCCACCCTAGACAGCAAGAGGTCCAAAAGGCAGGCAAGCAGGCAGGAAAAAAGAGAGAACATTGAGAAGCAGAAACATCTCAAATCCACAATAGAGGCACGACTGTGCTCTGGGGAGCTGCTCCCAAGGCTCCATCCTAACTGAGTGAGGCTTCCAGCACCAGACACTCCAGCAGGTAAGGCTTCCTACTGGCCTTCCCCGCGGGATTCTCCAGGGTGAGTGCTGCCAGCTTCATCCCCAGGCCTTACCCCAGCAACCACGAGCATTTCCTAGGTACCCACTTATGGGCTGAGCCCTCTGACAGACATTGTGTCCATTCCATCCTCAACCCCAAACAACCCAGGACGCTGAGTGTTCTCCCTGCACTTTACAGATGACATGATAGGGAAGGGAGGCCTCGAGATGAAGCAACCTGTTTGGCAACAAGTAGCAACAGAGGTGGCAGAACTCACAACCAAGGCAGTCTGGCTCTTTTCACTGTAAGTTACTGCTGCTCCCCAGCTGGTGTGCGCTCGGGAAGCCACGCCTCCTTCCTGCCAGCCTCAGTAAACACCACTGGGCACAAACGCTGCCAGACGCCAGGAACGCTAGGGCCCAAAGCCAGCTTAATCTTGGATTATCCGACTACTACTTCCCCACACTGACTAGCTGGGACCAACTGCCAGTATCCTGGGAACACAGATGGTCATTTCAAAATGCCCACCTTTGAAAAAAGAGGAGCTAGAGGCAAGCAGTGAGAAGACCTGCAGGCAAGGGTCCTGGCTCTGGCATACTGTGTGTCCCTGAACACAACCGTCAGTCCGCTCAGTCCCTGCCAGACTCGACTGCTTTGACAACGTACAGCCCAGAAGCCAGAACTTCATCCCCCCTTCACTCTCACGTGGGAATGGACCAAAATGGCAACTCTGGGACAAGAAGGAAAGGGGGGCAAGCTTGGTGGACAAGTTCACAAAGCAGGGGACAGGCTGAATCCCTGGGCCCAGCCAGCCCCCCTCAACCAGCATGGGTGGGCAGGGAACCTCCCTCAATGAGTCTTACCCTCCTTTGCCCAGTGGGTTTGGGGCACAGGAGTGGGAGGGACCCTTTAAGGACAGTCATGCCCGGTCATTAACCTGAGCTCCCATATTTATTTGAAGGGAAATTCTAGTAATTTTATTTTTAAACTCACACATACCCTTGCTTCTCTCCCATTCTGGTTTATACATAGGAGGTGTTTTGTAGAAATTTAAAGAAAGCAAAAAGAACAGCCTGATTGTAACTCCAAATAAGTCAGCAGGAAAACAGAGTAGTTTGTGGGCACAATGAGTGGGAGGGAAAGGAAAGGCAGGCCAGCTTGTAAACCCATAATCCTTTTAGTTTACACACAGGGCTAAACCTAGTCAATTTCAACTTGTGCTTGCCTCTGCTGGGAAAGAATAAAGGTTTAATGACTCCTGTTCAAAGCATTACTGAGACAACAAAAGCTTGCTGTCAGGCTTTTTGCTCCTTTGCAGCTAGCCCAAGAAGAAGGAGCTGTTGGTGACAGGACAGCACAGCCCCATCGAGGCTACAGCCCCAGAACAAAAGGGAAACCACACACGAAAACTCAGCTGGCCCTTCCACCTACTTAGAGGGGCCTGAAAGCAGCAATCCTCAGGCAAGGCAGGAAGGGGACTCCACACCTGGAGGGTCAGCCTGGTTTTACCAAGTACTTCGGAGCAGATGCACGGCCTGAGGCAACTCACCAGGGTAAACAGGGCCTCACAGGGTTCCTGCACAAAGCACCCCATCCATCCTTCTTTAGAAATCTGAACTTGCATCGGGGGGAAATCATCCTGAATGAGCACAGGATTAAGGAACCTGGACCTGTCAGCCCTTCAAACTGACCACAATCTCACAGCAGAAGCCCCGGCAGCTAACGCTACTACCCTCGGCAACTCAACCCCGACCAGAGGGCCGCCCCACCATACTTGTCACAAAACTTCAAATGGAACCTGACAGGCACGCATGCCCCACAGGAAGGTGGCCAGGACAGAGGCTCGAGGCAGTGACAGAACCAAGAACGGGCAACGGGAGACAGGTAGTCGAAGGCTGCTGCACAAACAGTCCATCTGTTCTGCCGTAGCCGCCCCACGAAGGCAGAAACTGTCTGGCAAAGAGGTTAGCTCCCTCTCTTCTGGCAGATTTCCACTTAAGAGCTGCCAGAGACAAGGGTACTTAAACCCACTCCTGCCTCTGAGAACAAGGACCCAAGGCTCTTTACCATGAAAATTACAAACAGCCCCAGGCCAAGTCTAACCTATCTTTTACACTTAAGTGGGTGGAGTGACTATGAAGTGAAAGCCAGTTCCCAGTCTCGAGTCTCACAGGGGAAGCAAGCCCATCGGCCTGCGCCCAGGTGAGCAGTGCTGCCCCCATCTCTCTTTCTGAGCTGCTTCCAAGTGGACTCTGAGCACGGAGCATTTAAAGACCACAGCTGCTGGTTGGTGGTGAAGGAGAATGACACTGTTTACTCCCTACAACTACTTAACCTTCAGTAAGTGAGTAAATTCTGAAAAGAGCATTTTTAAAAAGTCAACTCAAGATTTTCTTAGACACAGATAATAAGCACCCAGAGAACCCTTAACTCTGAAGTCACTTGGCTACCTAACGATGAAACACACATCCCTACTACTGGACCCTGTGGGGAGCAGCCCTCAGAGGCAGGGGATGCGACATGACTGAGTCTATAATCACCTCCAAAGTACTGAGATCCTGGAATAGTCCTGAAAGTGGCCTTTCATTCCAGGGTTACATTTTTACATGTGGACTTGATCCCGTGAGATGACACTTCCTTCTGCAGAATCACACCATTACAGGCAGTGCATACTAACCAAACTCTCAGCTGCAGAGCTAGACTCACTACAACTAGTGTGGCGAAAAAACAGGCTGAATTACCCTCACAAGATCCAAGAGACTTGTAACCCTTACGATCCAAGTATATTTTTGAAAACCTGCAAAGACATTGCACACTAAAAGACGCGGCAGCTGAAAACCTACACTGGCTGGTGGAAACGGACCTGATTTTGTCTTGGCAAACGAGCTGTTCTAGAAGCAGTACGGACTGACCTGTTATTCGCTTTCGTCTTCTGTAGCTGCTCGTCCTGCCTCGCATACCACTCATCCAGCTCCTTTATTGCTTTTTCTTTCCACTCTGCTTCTTGCTTCCGAGAATTGGCATCTTTGAAGGGAAGGAAAAAGACGATACAAATGAGGCGAAATGCAAATTTTAGTCCGCTTCACCGTGTATTTGGGCTTATTAATCTCATGCTGTGTGCGGGCGCATGTGTGTGTTGGAAGGAGAACAGTCGGGAGGGAAGATAAAATTCTCTTTTCCCTGATTGTATGTCCAGCTCTCGATCTTAGCAATTCTATCCAAAGTGGTTCACCACCACTTATCCCAGTCCACCTACACGTTAGTGGATCACTAGTTTGGGGTTTTTTTTTTTTTGAGGTGGGGGAGAGGTGGAAATACTGACTTTTAATTTTAAAAAAGGCTTTTGGGACACCAAGTGGGGAAAAAGCAATTACAGGTGATTCTTTAATGATGCTGCCAGTTCAGGGTGGACTATTCATATTAAATAATCTTTTAATAAAATCTCCTCACAAACTATATTCCACACAGGTTGGACAATTAATGGTAGATGCACATCTATGAAGCAGGGAGCTATGAGAAAATTTATCAGAGGTAGAGATGATTCCAGAAGCAGGAAACAGTAGGGTATAGATGGAATTGAGGGGAGCACAAAATATCTACTCCTGCTTAGGCCACAGAGCGAGTCTGTGGCAGAGCTAGGGCAGAACTAAAGGAGAAACTCCAATGCGGAGAACTGTGGGGGGAGAGGTGAGGGTCGTCATGAACAGCTATCCAAAAGGTTCTAGGTGAGAGAGAAAATGCACACCTAGCAGGTGTGCCAGATTGGGTTCTCACCCACAAAGTTTCTCAGGACTAAATACAAGTTTCCCTAAGATACTAAAAGAAACATGTCAGTAAATGGTAGAGAGAAGGAAATACAAGTCATACTTTTGCCACAGTTGACACCGGAAGTCACCCTAATACCTAAACTTTAAGCACATTCTTAAGGATGTCCTCTCTGGCAGGTGTTTTACAGACATCTCATTTAATCTTTACAACAATCCCAAGAAGGTAAACTAGTCCCATATTCAGCAGTGAGAAAAGCTACAGCTCCGCAAGTTTGAGTAACGTTCCCAAAGGTTATAGTAAGTGGTAGAGCCAAGATTCACACCCAGGTCTGACTCTAAAGCTCACACATTCTTACTTCACTGTGCTGCCTCCAAAGAGAGGGACGAGGGACGGAAAGGGAGGCAGGCCCAGCAACAGTCACAGATGTGACCAGCAGATGGGCATCAGTGATCCAGACCAGAGTCTGGACAGTGCAGAGCCAGAGCCCAACCTGTAATGAGTGTCCTTGAGGAGCAAAGTACAAAGCAAACAACTTCTTGAAGGGAAGAAAGTAAGCATTCAGGGGCAATTATAGGGCCTTTGCAAGAAAGGTCTTGTAGTAACAACCTGCAGAAGACTTTGTAACTACTAGAAATAACCTAGTAGCAGCTAGAAACTCCCGCAAAGTTTCAGATTATAAAGAACTTTTTACCCTGTTATCTAACTTATCAGAAGGTGACATATTGGCTCAGGAGGAGAATTATTTCACTCAAATTTTCCACTGATGACTCAAGTATACACAGTAAACTTGTGATGTGTGTCTGTCCATGGCATTAAGTATATGTGGAATGGAGGGTGCTGTGATGCAGGGAGAGATGCTGTGGGCCGACGGTGCCCTGTGGACAAGAAACTGAAAAAACTTTAAAGAATAAGGTCTCCTTTTCAGGAGTTGTGAAATTACTTCCAAAGAATTACTTTTTGATTGGAGAGTATTTTCTTTCTGTATAGTCTAATGATCATTTTACTGCATAAAATAGTTCCTTTAAATCATCTTCTTTTATAAATTTATGAAGTGACACTGCCAATAAGAATTCAGAATTCTTAAACGCTTAGCTTGATGGAACAAAGATCCAAGCTGTAATACAGCGTCTCTGAATCTGGGAGGGAGAAGGGAGAGGAGAGGGTGAAAAATCCTCTTAGAGAGCAGGGTACACTGACAGCTGTCTTCTCTGGCCATACGCATTAATGTTCACAGAAAATTATTGGAAAACGTTAGCACACAGCTAAGCTTAAGACCATGGACATTGCTTCTCTATTTTTAGCATCTTGCACTTTCTCACAGTTCTTGCAACAGAAAAATGTGAAACTGCAGAAACACCTAATTCACGGACCAGTTTAATTCGATTCTACTGGAATACGAGGCCAAATGTTTGACTTCCCTCAGGAAGGCAACATGAGTTAAGAAAATAGCACTTCATGGAATATTCCCAAAGGGCCCAATTTGATAACTGAAAAAGAAAATGAAACTTTTCCAGACACCAAAGTGTACGCTCCTCCATGGAGAAGACAACTTTGCTAAACTTTGGGGAAAGAGAAAAGATAAAGCTGGGTTCTGCATCATGAAAAAGACTCCAGTAGTACTAATACCTGCTAAGTCTCGCCTCTAAGTCTACTCAGAAGAGATGCTCAAAGAAGAACAAGCAAGGACCAAGGCTGTTTGCACCATGAAGACCTATCTTCATCTTTCTAAAGCTGCACTATCCAGTACAGTGGCTACTAGCCTCATGTGGCCATTTAAATTTATTAAAATTAAATAAAATTTAAAACTCAGTTTCTCAGACATAATAGCCACATGCAGTTAGTGGCTACCATACAGAAGAGCACAGATATAGAACATTTCCATCATCAAAGAAACTACTATTGGATACTGCTGTAAAGGTTAAACGTAAGTGTGCCCTCTGTTCTGAAAGCCACAGAAACTGGGCTGGAGAGACACTAATTGGCTGTATTATCTGGGTCAATTCCTTTCCTATTTCTGGGTGTCCTTTCCTATTTCTACACCATCTGAGTCATGTTTTCACTAGTTCAGCGATTCCCAAGAAGGAATAATAATGCTGACACTGTGGTAACATAGAAGCATGTTGCTATTTCTAGTTGTACAATAAAATATTTAGGCACGATGTATGTGGTGGTGTATATATCTTAAAGTGGATCAGGAAAAAAATTATGTGTATATTCACAATACACATATAAATGTATGCACATGTGAGTGTATAAAACATACACATACATGCCTCATTTATACAAAGACAACCCAATATGGCAAAATGTTCATTACTGAATCTGGAGGAAGGGGCACACATGTTTGTTTTACTCTATTCTGTGTCTGAAATTTTAATTAAAAATTGAGAAAAGAATACCCTCTGGATAACACCCCCCCCCCGCCTCTGCCACACCTTTCCAACCCACGTGTACAGATACCAAGTCTCTCCCGATCTTGACCAACAGCTGACACACCATGGAGAAGGCTCTTCAGCAAAGGCCAGGCTGGCTAGCACTGATTCTCAGGCTCGGCCTGCCCCTCGAGATGGCGTACACTAAATGCAATGCGGCTGAAGGGATGGGTATGGATTCTGAAGCAGAGCAGACTTAAGCTGAAATTCTGACTCTACCACTTCTAGCCGTGGTGATCCAAAAACTTACTCTTCCTCTGATCCTCACTTTCCTCACCCATAAAAAGTAAAAACTTACAGTGATATTAGGGTAAGAAAACCAAATCGTACATATTACCTAACATCCTTCACATTTTCCTCTCAAGCATTACTTTAAATCCAGCCTTCAAATGGTAAATGGACTGTGCAGTCCCTCACATGGGTATGATACCTTCAGGTTTACAAAACACTCTCATAAATACCATCTCAGACTACCCTTGGGGTTGATAACACTGATCTTACTTCACAGATGAAGAAACAGATTCTGTAAGGTTTGAGCAACCAAGTGCCCACAGCTGATAAGTTACTGCTGGGCCTGGAGCCCAGTCTTTCACTCCAAGTCCAAGGCTCTTTCCACAGCACCACTCTGCCCTTCCTGAGAGGACAGATGCACTGTGACTCTCCGGGCTGCCTGAATCCCCACACGGCGGCCTGTGATTAAGCATCTCCATGTGGTGGCCTTGTGACCTTGTTCGGAAAGATACCTTCCCCAAAACTGTACAAGAACATTATGGCTAATTCATGTTAAAAAGGGATAAAAGTAGAGTCAAGGTCAACTATTCCACTGAAAACAGATACCCAAAGACAGAAAGGGATTCCTTACCAAGGGCTTCCAAGCGTTCCGTTTGCTCTTCTCTCCATTTACGGATACTTTCAGGCTCTGACTGCAATCGATCCACTTGTGAAATAGCTGCATAACTGTCTGTTGGCCCATTACTCTCCTTAACACAAAACACAGTTGTGCTCTATCAGTACCAAAACCTCCTCCCAGAAATGCGCTTCACCCAAGTTAGAACCGCTGTTTATGTGCAACACTGATGGCTGTGGTAAATGTAAAGGATTACCTTACGAGCACCACCACCACCTTACGTGCCAATAGGGAGCTTTCAACATTATGCACTCAATCCTTGCAATCCACAAGGGAGCCTGAGTAGTTCTTATCCTGTTAATAAATGGGACATGAGTGGGAGATGGGAAAGCTGGGGAAGTGAGTAATGGACTTACTAGGAAACAGTGTGATCAGTTTTATTTTCCTTACTTGACACAGAGATTGTGATATCTTCAAAGTAACAAAGATAAATACACAGCACGGCAAGGCCTAGAACCTGACACTTCTAAATGTTATTATACAATACAGGGAAAAGTACACTTCATACCGCCTAATCAAAATATAGTGAATTCTAGGAAAAAGAGAGTCCAAAAGAAAATGTATAGTTACTACAGTCACACCAAAGAAAATAAAAAGGCAGGCCAATGTGAGTCACAGCGTATGGGATGGGGAGGGAGACACACAGGTTCTTTATAGTGGTTAAGATTTGGAAGCTAATAAATAAATTGATAAAGATTCAAAAAGAATCTAATCTTTATAGAATTATTTCACCTACTAAACTAGGGAATATTACCAGCTTAACTTAACCAGACTATAAACAAAGATGGAAAGAAAATTATTTACAGTAGTATTTATTAGTAACTAACTTATTGTTAGTACTTTCCATGTTTCAGCCACATAAAAGCTTTATCTCCCAAACACCTTGCAAGTCAAATTTTTATTCCCATGTCAGCAGTCGGGGGATTAAACTGAGGTGCAGAGAAATGACATGTCCAAATTCACAGCTAGTAAGGGATAAAGCCAGGACTGAACCCCATTCCATCTCACTCTAAAGACCAAGCTCTAAACCAGGGACTGGAAACTATAGCCAGCTCAGCCACCTGTTTTTGTAATTAAATTTTACTGGAACAGAGCTATGCCCATTCGTTTACATACTGTCTACAGATGCTTTCATGTTACAGCAACAGAACAGGTTGACAGAGACCTTATGACCCACAAAGCTTAAAATGTTTACTATCTGGTCCTTTACAGCAAAAGTTAGTCCACCTTTGGCTTAAACCAATTAGACTAATCTCATCCTTCCTGACAGTTAACTGGTTGAAGGGTGGGCAGAAACCCAGGCAGAAGCAAAGCACCACGCTATTTCCCCAGGCTACAGTGATTACTTCCATCTGGTCAAGAGGGAAACATAGGACTTTTGTTGAGTGGTTGGGAGAAACCTCCATGTTGTTCTAGATAGTATGACATGCACATGTGAGACCCGGAAGTGCTGTAGCCATTCTGCCACCGTGAAAGAGTATAAAACTGCACACTCAGCTGGCAGAACCAGAGTCCTAGAGGAACTGAGTTGGAATCCAGGTCCGAGGACCCCTAGCCTATCTCAGAGTTCTTTCAATTATATGAGCGAGTGAATTCTATTTAAGCCAATGCACGTTGGGCTGGTGACCAAAAACTCAGTGATACAGAGGGAAAATAATGGTAGTCGTCACAAATACCAGCCACCCCCCACCCTCAAGACCATCTAAAAGCTGAAAAGTTCCAATGCTGGCCCCACCACATACTACCTTTGTTACTTTTAGACTCCTGGTTTAACCTCTGTATGCCTCAGTTTATTCATCTGTAAATGGGAATAACAATAGTTCAGGTCCCTCAGATTGTTGTGAGAATTAAAGAAAATTCAATATAAACAGTGCTTGACACTACATGGCACAGTGTTTAAATCAGCCACCACTGCCACTGCCGCCACCACTGCCACTGCCACCACCACTGCCATCATCATGAAGGGTCATTTCTTGAGAATAAAGTTGGTAACACTAGGGTCAGGTCAATCACATTTTAAAAGACTACTCTATCAATGTTACCTCTCTTCAAATCCTTCCACTTTGGCAGGTAACATACCAGTTACTAATACATCCAGGAAAGTCAAAGGAGTGGGGTCCTTTCCAGGTCAGTCAATTCAAGTCACAGGAAAGGAAGACTCTCAACACTATCATGCAACATAATCAGAGTACTCTGTACCTGGTAGTATTCGCCATTCATGATTCCTTCAACAGCATCTGCAAGACATAAGATTTCAATCTGTCAATTAGGGCTGGTCATATGCTGGGCCAAAGGGTTACAGAGTATGACACAGTGCTGTAAGTACTCTAAGTTACTATCCCTGTGCTAGGTACCAGATAAACAATGGACAACTTTCTATTTAATGAAATCAAGATGTGCTTACACAAATGACTTCACCAAAATGTGGACAAATCTGTCCAAAAGCTTTTGATAATTGTCTTCTGGCTTAGAGATAACACTTAGAAGCCCGGCAGAAGAGCCTCACAGAGCAACAGTTTCTCTATCAAAGTTCTAAAGAAGGCAAAGGATAAGGGTGGTCCGGAATCCTTCACAGCGAGCAGAGATATGCAGCTTCATATTTAAACCAAGGTGCTTTCTTGGGGTCAGGACTCTCCATCCTTTGGCTAGAATAGGTTTGGCACCTGAGGGTCTACACTTGAGACTTCTTACTAATTCCTCAAGTCTACTTGGAATTAGTCCAGAACAGTAAGCTTTGGGCATACCAAATTAAATTAGTGTTTTCAAGGATGCAAGTTACAAAAACTCAGATTGTATACAATCTGATCTTATTGGCACAATTAATTGTTCATGAGCTAAATGAGAAAGTCCATCTCAGAAATATGAAAAATGTCTAAGTTAAGACTCAGAGATTATCAATCCATACAGTACAAAATGGTGGTCCACAGGCTGAACATATTTTATTTAAAATACAAAGCACTAAATCAGGAAATTTCACAAAATCAGGATTCCCAGTGTGTGTGTGTGGGTGTGCAGACAGAAGATCTGGCAACACTGGGCCTGCATTCCTAAATGAAGGCAGCCTTTACGTGCAGCATGCTCTGGACAATTTGCCAGTCCCCACTAGCCCCATTTTTTTTTTTTTAACCCATTCTGTGTGTCACTAATTCAGTTACCTGACTGGCCCAATAAGCATGTGTTTCTAACCTATGCCCTGACCCAACAGCCATCACTGATACAGCCTGTACCAGGCTGCACACCAGCCCTTTGGAGTGGCTGCTTTGCCTCCCCTTGAAAGCTTCAATACAGGCACCATAAAAATGCAGCGTCCACCTACATATTCTACGTATTCTCTATCTGTTGGCTGACCCATATTTACTGCCTACTATGTAGGACTTACAGTATTTTGTCCAATTGTTTTCAAACTATGATGACCATGTTATTGCATGGGATGGGAGAGGGAAGAGGAGAAAAGAGATGAACCTAAAAGATACAAGAACCCAAGTAGTAAAAGGAATGCAGAGCAGCTAGTGTGGGCCACCATCACAAGGCCCTCAGAAACATCAGAGGTTTCCCTAGAAGCCAGAGGCAGGGTGCTCTGAGTCGCATTCTTTCCTTTGAACAGGCAAAGATTTCATCAAACCACTCCAGTTTTCTTGGTTCCTAACTAATTAAACCCAACTTGAACCGCCTATTTTCCAAATCAACCTCATTCTCTTGCTTCTCCCAATTACCCTCCTCTTAGCTTTGGGAGTACTGAAAACTTTCCTTTCCCCAGCATGCCTCCCTGATACCAAAACATTGTTTTAAAAAAAAGGAAAATGGAGACAGAAGAAAATGCCACATAATTTCATTACTCAGCCTATTGGTTTCTATTTTTTTACTTTATCTAATGCATACACATAAAATTTCTTCCCGCAAAATGACTCCTATAACAGATGCTTTTTAGTAATCCATTCATCTATATCATTAAATTCTCAACTTTTTTAGTATGAAAACACCTACTACTTACTGCTTCCAATGTGCCAGGCACAATGTTAAACACTTTCTATATATTAAGTTTAATCCTCACAACACATCTGTATGTATCAGCACTTCACAAACGACCTTAAAATACATGTAGGGTTGGTTCCTTGAGAGGTAAGTAAAGTGTTCTTGAAGGGGCAGATAACTAATGACAGTATTTTCACTCTTAAATTTATTTTTTATGTTTAAGATATATAAGAAAAACATTAAATGCATGTATCATGAGATAATCAGCATTTACAAAGTGGTGCAATACCTGGGCAAGCAAGAAGTCAGAGGAAGGATCATCTGATAACCTGAGGCATGAAGACAAACCACAGGATCTAAGCACTTACCAACCCATCACAGCTCTGATCCATGTTTCACTTGCTGGTTATCTATCAATCATTTCAACATATTTCTCATACTTTTTTTAATTTCCTTACTTGTTTTACTCCTATGCTTTATTTATAAAAGTACAAAAATGAGTTTCTTGTAGTTTTTGTCAGTGGCTTTTTTCTACTTTAAGCTGTTTCTGTGCCACCTATCCCTATCATTTTTAAAATATTCTATCAAGTTTTGAAAATGTAAATTTAGCAAAAAACTAATAAAAGTATTTGCAGAGGGCATATTCAATCCTTCCTCAGCAATAAATTTCTTGACACAGAACTGATGGATCACAGAATATATATTCTAAAGACCTCTAAACACCAGCCATTTGCCCCCTTTGGTCCACCATTTGGTGGACCAAAGCATCACCACAAGTGCCCCATTTTTCAGACCTTCATTGCTACTAGAGACTGAGTTTTAGCGTGTTTTAAAATTTTTGCTAATCTGATAGCAGGAAAAAAAACCTTAAGGTGGCTTTGTTGTGCCAATCTTCTGTGAGGTGATCACCTGACATTTGATTTTCTTCTTTACTAAACTGCCTGAGTTTTGCCCATTTTTCTGCTATCTTTTGATTTCTAAGTATTCTTTCTGTATTATTTGTTTTCTCACATTGCAAATATTTTCCCCATTATCTTTTTGTATGGTTTACAATAGTTAATGCCTAGAACTACTTAACTTGTATGAGACACTATCAGTTTTTTTTTCCTTTATGATTTCTCTGTCTGCATTTATGATGAAGGCCTTTCCTACTCTAAGATAAACATTCACTTTTCTTCTGGTACTTAAAAAAAAAAAAAGCCTCTCTTTAATCCACCTGGAATTTATTTTTTTTGAGTAAAATTTAAAAAGTGAGATACGGGACACGGGTTCGAGCCCTGGTCCGGGAAGATCCCACATGCTGCGGAGCAACTAAGCCCATGTGCCACAACTACTGAGCCTGTGCTCTAGAGCCCGAGAGCCACAACTGCTGAAGCCCGCATGCCTAGAGCCCATGCTCCACAACAAGAGAAGCCACCACAATAAGAAGCCTGCGCACCGCAACGAAGAGTAGCCCCTGCTCACCACAACTAGAGAAAGCCCATGTGCAGCAACGAAGACCCAACGCAGCCATAAATAAGTAAGTAAATACTATTTTAAAAAGTGAGATAATTTTAAATCTTCGGGCCTACAATGGCTAGTCTGGCCAGGCCTACGTTTTGGTTAATATATTACAACTAACACACCAACTATCCAGTTAATATTTATTTCAACCCAGGGCCACTGTCAGTAGGAGAGACCTTGGTCACTACTCCAGACACAACATCAGAAGCAATTCTCATCCCATAGCTCTTTCTAAGTCACATGTTGCCCATCCTTTAGGTCTGAAGACTCATCCAGACTCACTGGCAAGTGCTTTGAGCTTTTATTAGTTACTGTACTACTGTACTGACATTCAACTGGCTCAAATCAAAGGATCATCTGTTGCTACAGAAACATGCAGAAGAAAGGCCACCCAGGGCCTTGATTTATTAGGACAACTAAGCTAACCAACTTGATGCCCCAGAAGGAAACTTTCTAGGGCATCTCTAGAACTCCAGACAGAAACAAGGGCCAGAATAAGTTTCCAGAGATGAAAGACTCTTTATCCCAAACCCACCTTCAACTTCCCATGTTCCCCAACCAATGGAAGTCAAGCAGACCTGGGTCTGAATTCCTGTGGAGTCATGCATTAGCTTGCCACTTTAGGAACCCTGCTTAACTTCCACAACCATCAGTTCTCACCTGAAACAGGATGACACTACCACTCTGCCTGCAGTTACTGCATGGATCTGAAAGTACACAGAGAACCTGGGGCACAGCAAATGTGCAGTATCACTAAGGATCATGCATGCAATTTCCCCGAACTTCCCTCCACCACTGCTACCAAGAAAATTACTCTCCACCTCCAGAAAGCTTTCCTTTATGTACCTCTCTTCCTTTGATGAGTGCCTCACTGCCATACTCTCTCAGTAGCTCCTTAATCACCTCTCTTAGCCTCCTCCATCCTCAGCCCTCACGATTGAGGGCTTTTCCTCAGCTCTAGACTCGAGCTGCCTCTTTCCTGACCGTTTGTTCTTACTCAGTATCCCCAAGCCACTTCACTCAGCTGGTTACCTCCCACCTCTAAACTAATGTTCTTCTCCGGATGTCCTAACAACTGAGGGCACGTTCCAAGGCTCAGGCCTAGCCCCTCCTCCATGGGAGTTTTCCCCAAGGCTGGGAGAGTTTAGGTATGTTCCTCTCTCCTCTCTCCTGCCTATATATCCCTGTACGGTAACACATCAGATACAGAGCTCCCTCCTAAAAGCTGTGTCTTCAGCACACCCCAAAGCCTATAGGCTTTGTAACACCTTTCTCACCTCACTCCCAAGGAATAATAGGCAGGGACTGTGTGTAGTCATAACATACCAGGTTCTGCGTGTAAGCACTTTATGGGTGCTCTCCAATATAATCCTAGCAATCCTGTGTGGTGAGTATCCGCACCTTTTACAGAGAAGAAAACTGAGGCAGGGCAGTGGCAGCGATGGTTATGTAAGTTGTCTGAGACCACAAAGCTAAACACATTCAAGCAGTCTAGGACAGCACAGAATCTTAACCCCTAGAGAGAGAGAAGAAAAGAGAAAAAGAAAGAAGATAAAGTGTCCAACTAGTGCTCTAATCCTCAAAGGAAGTGCTGAGCATTGCACTATTTTTTTTCTGACCACTGCACTATTACCAACCTCAACTACACTGTCAGAGATCTGGCTTTAAGTCACTAAATGCTTAGTTCACTAAGAAAGCCCTTCCTAGGAACTAAGTCAGCAATCATCCCTTCCTTCCCTTTGCTGAAAGCTTGATGCACAAGGGATCTGTGTGTCCAGCTCTATTCTTTCCCTTTTACCCCTCCCATCACCAAGATCTGCTGGTTCTATACAGGACCCCTGTACCTGACATTTTTGCACATTCCTTTGTACCTACTGTGTGCCAGACACCCTGCTAGGCACCAGGGATACAACAGTGAGCAAGAGTCAACACTGTCCTTCAATCAGGACAGTCTTCTATGAGTCCTGATACCCCCAACTGTCCTCCCCAGGGCAACCACAACTGCCTTTCAGAAATGACAATCTCTTATCCCACGCCACCCCTGCTTACACAACTGCAACAGACTATGGCACAGTCTAAGGTGGGGGGACTTGGCGCTCAGCTATTAACTTGCCCTTTTTTCTTAAGCAAGTCGTTTCTCTGCAGGACTCAGTTTTCTCCTTCTATTCAATGAGTGAGATAAACGAAGGATCTAAAAATATTACCATTCTCAGGCAAATGCTGAAGACCTCCTGACAACAACAAAGAAACCCTAATCACCTAAAGCCAAATTCATTTTCCGGCCACAGCCTAGTTCAGCCCAACCTGCTTGCTATAAATTGCATTTTCAGGTATACTACCCATTCTCCTGTAGATTCTTATTGGGCAACTGATTTGCTCAGGAGGCAGCATAATGTAGTATAAAAATTCAGGCTGCAAACTAGCGGTCTCCCCACCCCCACTCCCCAAACAGGTTCTGCTTGGCTGAAGACTGAGATTTCGGAGTCCGAATGGTTTTACGAAGACCACTCACTACTCTAGTGCACCAAAGCCGCAGTCTCCAATACTCCTTATTACCTCACAGCCCGCATGTTTCTCTCATTTATGTTACCTGCCTGGCCCCTTAAGGTCTGAGTTTAGGGTAGCATAAACACCTCTATCTGTCCCACCTGTACCTTATTCTCCCTTAGTTGGAACGTTTTTTAAAGAAATGAAAAGCTGCGTCCCGTTTCTTCTAGCTCATTTCCTACTTCCCTATACGATTAAAAAGGTCTCTTAGACTCATCCTTTCCTCCTACCGCCACAATCCGAAGCACTGCACACAGGTAAGGCATTCAGAAGTCAGACTGGCAGCCTGCCACGTGCTCGCTTTCTCTTTTTTGCTGGAGCTTGGCTGCGGAAAGGCCACACTACTTTTTCCCTTCACCTCATGGAAGACCGATCCAGGCTAATCTCAGGTTCTGCTTAGGCAACACTGCCTACCAAAGCTCTTCCCAGAGGAAGGAGAGCTCCGGAAGTCCTAGCAGTGATACGTTCCACAAGCGGTAAAACTCTTGCCCTCTTTGGCCACAGTTTCTCCAGGGCTAGACCGTCTTTCTCGCGTTCCCTATTCACTCCTCCTTCCCGCCCCCCCCCCCACATTCTGTACACCTTAAGTGCTGAAACACTGAACTGCATTGCCATTTTCGTTTCTGTCTCGAAAACGATACCACGATTTTTTTTTTTCCCTGCCTTCCTTCCTACTAACTGGTCTGTGTTAGGCTCAGACTGGCCTGTAAGTCTGGCCAAAGTGCGCCAATGCGGCTGTGCCTCTGAGGCCAGGCTCAAGGCACAGCAAATGCTCAATGAAAGATCCCTGCATTGAACGGGCTTCTTCGGGCTCCTCAGCTTATCCTATTTTCTTGACTTTTTCCCCCGCCCGTGCCCGGGAGCGCTCAAACACACTCACAGAACGGACCAGGCTTGCCGAGCCTGCGTTTCTGCATGACTGAGCCGGGGTCCCGTTTCCTTTTTGCTTCCTCCTTAACCTCTCGCTCAGCGAGGTACAAGAGTTACACAGAGCTTCTCAGACCCGCTCCGGGCCGAGTTTCCGGACAAGTGCTCCCGCCCCGAACGCGCCCGCACTCACCCGGACCCCCCGGCGGCTCGCCGTGCGGCTGGGGCCCGTGGGCGCCGCCGTCCAGGATAGCGAAGGCCTCGTCGTTCTCTATGCCCGCAATCTCGCTCTCCTGCTGCGCCAAAAAGGCCGCGGCAGGGTCCTCTTCGCCGGCCACTCCGTTCCCCAGCGCGGGGCCGCTAGCATGGGCGCCGAACGGATCTAACTCAGCCATGGCGGGCAGTTCAACAGCACGGTCACCGACGATGAGAGACACACCAACCGACCAGCCAACTCCGCGCCCGGCAGCGGCCGCTGTGGTGGCGACTGATATCAAGCGGGAGGAGGGAGAAGACGGAAGCGGAAACCCTGCCCCAATATCCGGTCGGTCTGGGCTGTGTTGGAGAGCCGAAAAGGTAATAACCAATCAGAGGACAGAAGTGGTTCAAGAGCTAACCAATCAGCCGGAGGAGGGTTGGGCCCCCGAGTGAAGCTCGTGACTCGGGAAGCACCTGCGAGGAGGGTGCTGAGCCCGGCCGGCCCCCGGCAGGCGGAAGTGGTGCGTGACTTAAAGCAGCTTTGCCTGACCCGCCTTTGTGGCTGGACCGACCCGGGACCGCCACCTCACAGAGGACTCTGAACCGGGAAGTGAGGTGAAGTTAGGGCGGCGATGATTGGCCGACCGCAGAAGAGTCAAGCCACTTAGGCTTTCTGAATCTCAGTTTCCTCATTTGTAAAATGGGAACAAGAATACTGCACTATCTCCCTCCCAGGATTACTGGGAAAACTGACTCCTTTTACGGCTGTGTACTGGCTTTCTAAAAAAATTTTTATTTGTTAACCCATTGACCCAGTCTGGGTTGTTTTCTCCCCTAGAGCCGCCTGACTTAAATGTAATCAATTCAAATACACTCTGACGTTTCTCCCCTATAGTATTGTTATAAAAAGGCGAATATATCCCCTTATACAAAGCGCTTTTGCAGCCAGTACTCTTTTCAGAGCTAGACAGAAGTTTCTAGGACTGAAAAATTCCTTAAGGATCATCGGGTTCATAGGGAAGCTGAGGCCCCCATGAGGGGTCAGTCCCACAGGGAGTCAGTGGCCAAGAGGAAACCCTGGTCTCCTGGGCAATCCCGAATGGTACTAGCCACAACATCTTATATGTGCGCACCCTTCCCGCCTAAGGACAGCAGGAACTTGCTTAGAAAACAAAGTGCTGTCAGTATTTCTTTAATATCAGGGACATGTTAATAACATGGCTAGTTAATTTTGTCTACACCCTAGGGAGGATAATCCAGTGATTCCAGTTTCTCGTGCTCATGTTGAGGAGGGGCTTATCCACTGGCCAAAAGAAGGACCTTTCTCCTTCACCGCCACCACCCTAAAAAGTCGAAAACAGAAACAAACCAAAAGAACCAGCCAGAGGTCAAAGTTGCCTCTAGAGGTAGTCAGTAAGGGACAAGAAAGTGGGTCCTAAAAATATACACTAATCTTTGTTGACACAAAAGGGTAATTGCTTCCTTAAAGCATGTATTTACCTTTAAAGTCGTTTAAAGTATGAAGTGTAGGAAAGTTTTGAAGAAAATCATTTAAGAAATTTAAAATTTTAGGGCCTGCACCTGACTCAGTTTCCCCCCTCTCTTTTTGTTTTAATGCTCATCCCTAACATAAATGGACTCATCCCTAACAGAAATTGGCAACAATGCATGAAGTAGTTTCACATTCCTCTTCTCTTTGAAACAATATATCCTGCCCCTGTTAGGAGGATAAGGGACAGAGACTACCCTGAGAGGGCCCAAGGAAGACAACTTTTGGTTGCTCACAGCAGTAGTAGCTGAGGGACAGAGAGCATTCTCTCGGGGGCAAGCGCGTAACTGTGGGGAAGCTGTTCTGAGAGTCACTTGCTAGAGGGGGCACCATCTCTCGTCATGCAAAATCAGCAAGTGTTTATTCACTCAAAATTGAGGAAATCAGCTCGTCGTTTAGGGATGACTTCACAGGGGAGGTGGCTTGGAGTTCAGTTATGATATTTGGGTAAGGTTTAGAAGAGTTACTCCTGGCGCCCTAATGTTACAATTGTGCAAGGTTTCATAGCTTGGCATGTCTGGGGGACAGAGAGTAAATTAGTTTGGCTGGGCCTGAAGGGCTTAAGTAGAGGAATAATTGAAGGTAAATATGGAGACATATGCTGGGGTCTTGAATGCAGTCCATGCTAAAGAGGCTTATTAGCAATAGGAAATTATGGAAGGTTCCAGAAAAAGGAATGCTTTGATCAAAGTGCTGCTTAGGAGGTTAATCTGATCCCTGGGTGCAGGATGGATGGGAACAGAGGCTGTGGGAAAGAAGTTGAGGAATGGCATGATGAAGGTCCAGGCAGGGCAGTGATGTGGACTTCGATGATCTGGGGAGCACTGATGGGAAGTCCCTACCTACCACAAGAGGTAGGGACTGGGAGAGTTGCAGGGGGAAAGAATGAGGTCATAAATCATACCTGAAATCACCAAAGCCACTAGTTTATGCTCTCTGGGGGAATTCCAGTAATTGCCAGGAGACAGAGAAGAAGATTTAGGTGATATCCAGAAGGTGGCTAGAAGTATACACAAGGAGGGGAGCTCCTGGCTGGAGTGGGAGAGATGGGGAGAGGGAAGTACTGGGTGACACAGCTGGGAAGAACCCTTGGTTCTAGGGAGAGGCAGAGATTGGACTGTGCAGGGTCTTTCCACAGCACTCTGCCAGAGCCAGACCAAGGGCCACACAGTGACGTCTGATGGGTCTTGGTTGAGAGGTTAAGACACAGACCCCACTCTCTAAAGCCAAAAAGTATCTGATCCAGAAGAAGGGTGGTAAGAAATACATACAAATTACTCTAAGATAGGTGCAAGTGGTGATGTGGTATGGGTGTGGAGAGGGCAGTGGTGAGCAAGCAAAGAACTGAAAAGACGGAAGGGAGGCGAGTCACATTTGGTTGAGAAGTCCTAGAAAAGTTTCATACGGGAGATAAGTGCAGTGTCTATCTCTCATAGCTTGGCATGTTTGGGGGACAGAGAGTAAATTAGTTTGGCTGGGCCTGAAGGGCTTAGTAGAGGAATAATTGAAGGTAGATCTGCTGGGGTGAGGGCAGGGGCCATGTATGCCTTACTTATCTTTGTATTCTTAGGGTCTAGCATTATACCTGGCACATAGCAAGTGTTCAATAAACATTTGTTGCTGGAATGGAGTGGCATTTGAGATGGATCTCAAAGGAGAAGGGTTGTGAGATATATATGATGGAGAGGAAGAAAGGCAGGCTGTGCTCTGGGAAGTGATTTGGCTAGGTGATGGAAGATCAGGAAAGTAAATGGATACAGCTGAAGAAAGTGTGTTGGAGTCATATCGTGAAGGACTTGAGAGCCCAGGTGAGGATTATTACTACATTTGCAGAAGCTGTGGGGAGCCTTTGACGGATCTTACCTGGCCAATGACTCTGTCAGAACCCTGTTCTGGAAGAGTCTTCTGGCAGCTCAGGCAGTTAGCATGGCAGAGGGTTCTAAAAACAGGGAGGACAGTTAGGAAAGACTGCTGCAGTGGTTCAGGAGGGAGATGCAGGGGGCCAAGGATGATATTCTAGGAAACAGCAGTGGGCTCAGGTGGAAGGAAAATAATGGAGGTAATATACATAATATAATACTTGTAAGTAATAGCAGAGAGAGGAGGCACAGAGAGAGAGAGGAGATTCACAGATAACTTTTATAGCTTGTGAAACTATGAACAAAAATAGCCACAACAGGAAAAGCCGGTTGTGTGGAATGGGAGGAGATGAGGCAAATGAAGATTTCAGTGTGGACATATTGAGCATGAGGGACCTGTGGGATATTCAGGAAACATTCCAAAGGATATTGGAAATCTAAGTCTGAAGTTCAGGAGAGAGGAGGATCTAATTCCAGCAATGGTGGGCAAGTTGTTCTGGGCCAACTGTTCTGCTGAAAACAACTAGAAGATCTGGCCAAAAGTTTTAAAAATCTCTTTGAAGGTATCAGAGGACTACCAAAGCAGTGAGGAATTGTGGGCCAAAGTTCTAGAAGGGAAGGGAAGCCAAGAAAAGTGAGCCTAACATTTGGAGCCGTTTTTCCTCTCAAGGAGACTGTTAGTTGTAAAAGCAGAGGCTGAGAAGCTGAATAGTTGAGGGCCTACCAAGAAGAAGGGGCCCTGATAAATGTACCAGGCTTTTTGTTGGGACCCCAAAGGGCTACCTACTAGGAATAAAGGGGGAAAAGGCCTTGACTGAATTAAATTGATCCAGGCTTTCTAGTGCCCTTACCTTAGAGCTGCCTGTCAAAAGCAAGAGTAAATTCTCTCTGACAGAAAAAAATTTCATCCAAAATAAATAAGCACGAAAAAAAAAAAAAAAAAAAAAATACATAAGCACGAAAAGACAAAACATGTTCAGAAATATTTTCAAGGACAGGCATACGATAGAAATTCCAGAGGATTCAGATAATCGAGTTATCAGACCTAGACTTTAAACTAGCTATGATTAAAGACTTCAAGGAATTAAAATAATGAGAATTTCAGCAGTTCAAAATTTTGAGAACTAAAATTCACAGTATCTGATATTAGGAGTTCAATGGAGAGGTTTAATAGTGGATTAGACATAGCTGAAAAGAGAATTAGTGAACCAGAAGACAGAGCAGAAAAATATCCAAGCTGAAACAGAATCAAAAGGATGAAAACCACAGAAAAGAGCATAAAAAACATGGGATATGAGGGACAGGTTTTATAATGTAATTTTAGCAAGGAGAGGACTTCCCTGGTGGCGCAGTGGTTAAGAATCTGCCTGCCAATGCATGGGACACAGGTTCGAGCCCTGGTCTGGGAAGATCCCACATGCCGCAGAGCAACTAAGCCCGTGCGCCACAACTACTGAGCCTGTGCTCTAGAGCCCGTGAGCCACAACTACTGAGCCCGCATGCCACGCCCACTGAAGCCCGCACGCCTAGAGCCTGTGCTCCACAACAAGAGAGGCCACCACAATGAGAAGCCCACGCACCACAACAAAGAGTAGCCCCCTGCTCATTACAACTAGAGAAAGCCCATGTGCAGCAACGAAGACCCAACACAGCCAAAAATAAATAACTAAATTAATTAATTTTAAAAAAATTTCAGCAAGGAGAGTAGAGAAAGAATGGAGCAATGTTGGAAGAGAAAATGGCTAAGAATTTCCCAAAATTGGTAAAGGAAATCAAATCACAGATTTAAGAGAATCACCATGAACTCCAAGCAAGATAAAAAGAAAAAAACCCAAAAATGCTCCCTAAGAGAACTGTTTAAAATCTACATGCCTCTTGTGCATTTTAAAACTGACATCTAATTTTTTTCATAA